TGTAGCGTGCTTTGCCAATTAACACGTTTAGTAATAGCTGGTTTAGCTCTATCACTCTGCATAGCAAATACACTGAGTGAATTACCATCGATCCATATATAGCCATTTCTATCAGTAGATAAAGATTTAGTCGAACCGTTTAGAACTGGAGTTATCTTCTGTCTCAAACCGTTGGACTCTATGAGCTCTTTATTCTTGGAAATAATCCAAAACAGTTTCATCTTACTATCGCTCTGATCTGACTTTGTCGATGATGACTTATCAAACAGAAAGCTATCTTCGAGGCGTTGTTTAGTACGATCTGCGTCGTCATTTTCTGAAGGATTAGGAATTTTTCGTTTTCTATCGAGGCGTGCTTCCATAAATGATTTATGATAGAGAGGATCTTCAAGTATCATGGAGCTGTTGTCATCGATTGATCTACTTTCCCTCGTACCAAATGTTTCTAATTTTCTCTTCGGTAGCGATCCAATCAATTGCTAGATAATTATAACTCTTTTTATAGCTTTTGCTATTAATCAGAGATCCATTTTTTCCAAATATAGTATCTATTATCGTCTTTTTCAGTTTTGCAATTAATAGGATTAAGTAAGACTTGTCCAATTAGGCTTGTCTTTAAAAATTGTTTGAATCCAATCTTTAGATGATACCTGATCTTCTGTTTCGATAATTTTTGTGGATGTTTGAAAATCGCTCATTTGGGGACGCGCATCTACTGATGAATCAACCATTTCTACGTTTGGCTTTACTGCGGTTGATGAGCTATCGACAGTCTGCGACACCTCAGGGTTTTTGTAGGAATTTTCAATATTCAGACTTATTTTTAGTCTTGTGTTTGAGTACTTGCATCAGATTGGGGATTATCGCTTCCCTGCTTTGCGTTGGCTGGCCCACCCCACATTTGCGATGGCATTTGTTGCGGCTGCTAATCGAAAAAGCCCTCCCGTTTCTTTATTTGTTTCGATAACATAAAAAGTTAGAATGAAATACTTTTCATATCATTGCTTCAAGATGCATCGGCATACATCTTTCGTTTAATATTTGTTTGTTGAAGGCGACGTTGCGCTTGTTCCAGTAGCTCTTGTCGTTTCTGCTCGCGTTGAGCAAGCGATTTGAATGATGGAAACATTGCTTGAATCGTATATATCATTAGGAAACATAAAAAATTGAGTATTCGTATTTACAAGTAGCTTGGCATAACTGAATCATGTATTGGGTAGGTAAAAGTGTGGCAAATCCGATTGCGTTCGTTAAGCATGCTTAAATATCATCCTTTATCCGATGGAAAGGGATATTAAAGATTTGTTCTAATTTATCCTTATAAGCTTTGTTTCCCACAGTGTATCGAAAATTCGACACTGGATCTAATACCGTTAGTTCCGTTTTGATTCTGCTTATTTCCTGAACTTCCGGCGCAACTTCTTAAGTTCAGATTCCATTTCTTAACATTTGAAGCACATGGTGCTGACTTTGTATCTATATATGAATCTCTATATTCCAAACTATGAAAAAAACCTATGTAATATAATAGAGCCAAGAGGATGTCTCAACTCACGACTATTAATTGCTAACACAGTTAGGATTGGTTTATTTTTTTTGTCAATACTCATTTTCAAGCGTTGATCGTCTATTTTTGTTTATAAGTCTGAGGTTGTCTTGCGGTTCCCATGAATCTGGCTCAGCACCACTCCATTGTACGAGGTATTATAACTTACCGTTGCGTATCTTCTTGTGAGCAAGAATACGTACAGCTTCAAGAATATCACCACGATTGATTGTTGCATCGGTGGTATCAGATTGGACCACTTAAGATCATTTGGCGCTTTATAGAGTGTATGTCCGTTTTTTTATCTAATCTCGACTCGATATCCATCAATACCAATTACCATGTAGGTAGCCTTACTCCATTTAGCGGCTTCTTTATCAAACTGCTTCTTTTTTAGACGGTAGATAACGTGCGTTCCAACCTCAAACGCATTCTCAACCTTATCCGATTCTTTTTGATTATGTTTTAGATCTGACTCCATTAATTTTCCTTCAGCTTTGTTTGGAGTCATACCTATTGAGCGGTGAAATGTGGTGTTATAGTTTTTGATGACATCACTGATCAGCTTCTGGGATATACGTTTTGGTGAAATCTTTTTTAGTCTCTGTTTAATGGTTCCTGTTAAATCTTTCAATTTTTCCCATAGTCCCATGGTCCCCAGGCTCATTGTTAAAATGATCAATATTTTTGCTCTTAAAATAACCTTGAAGCTGTGCATTCATTAATTCGCTTCCGTTATCACCCGTAATTATATCAACATGATGTAAGCGTACAAATGTCTTAATTGAAGCCAACACCACCCGTGCGTTCTTGTTAGATAGAAGCTTTGCGTACCCAACCCGAGAGTTGATGTTAATAGCAGTTGGTATCGGCTGTTTCTCCCAAAATGCGAGATCGATTTGCCAAGAGTTTGGATTGTGTGAAGCGATTTTGAAGCCCTCAAATCTCTTCTTTTGATCTTGAAATTGTTGAATATCAGTTTGACTTTGATACCATGTTTTAACGATTTTAAGAGTTATTTTAGAGTTCAACTCTTTTGCCTTTTGATATAGGTATTGGGCACCGATATATCCTGTTTTAGGGTCATAGTAAAGCTTGTGTAATAGTTCATCCATGAGTAGACAACTGTTCTATATAAATTAGCACAAAAAATAGGCTGTCCTCCGAGA